AGCAGCCTTGATTGTTGATGAAACAGGGCAAGATACATTTGAGCCAGATATTATTGTTCAGTATAAGAGTTCTGAATTGGAGAGAATTAATTATTATCATCCATCATTAATGGCTTTACAATACCCAATTTTATTTCCTTATGGAGAGGATGGATGGCATCCGGACATAAGCTGTGATGATGATGATGATGATAATCTTTGGAATGACAAGACACTGTCCCAGTGTGATTATTATGCATACCGCCTACAGAGTAGATTTCAGGAGTCAAATTCGGTTTTATTATCTGGGAAATTATTTCAGCAGTATGTTGTGAATGCGTATGCATTAGTAGAGGCACAGCGGCTTGATTGGATCCGAAATAACCAAGCCAAACTTCGTTCCCATTATCTGAGTGGGTTAGTGGATGCATTCCTCCGTGGTGATTCTGATTTAGAAATGACTGGAAAACATGTTATTTTGGCTGCTTCCCACACAGGAAGTCCACGGTACAAGTATGAAAACTTCCAGGATGCTATGGCTATTTGTAGGTGGTTGGGCTACCCAGATTTATTTATTACCTTCACCTGTAATGCAAATTGGCCGGAAATCCAGTTTATGGTTGATTTGGTTACCGCAGATGGTCGGAAAGATGTCAATAGATCTGATATTATTGCTCGGGTTTTCAAGCTTAAACTGCAGCAATTAATGTTTGAGATAAGAGATAAGAAAATATTTGGGACTACCACTGGATGTAAGTCGTACATGCTCCATAATTGTTATTTTAGTTTTGAGCAATACTTTTGTTTCATATGGTTGAATTATTTTAGTCAGGTTGTCCTTTACCTAATAAGGTTTTGGCAGGCTCCAACTTAATACATAGTGTATTTGTTTGCAGTTGTGCTGGCAATTGAGTTTCAAAAGCGTGGCCTTCCCCATGCTCATTTGCTGGTTTTCCTAGCTTCGGAATGTAAACTAACTGGGCCGACGGCCATTGATTCCGTCATATCCGCAGAAATTCCAAACTCTGATATTGATCCAGAAGGCTATAGGGCTGTAACTGCTTTTATGCTGCATGGTCCATGTGGTCTTTTGGGCCGTAATGCTCCTTGCACAGAAGGTGGTGTGTGTACTAAACATTTTCCAAAGCCGTTTTGTGAGCAAACGACGATTGATGATAATGGTTTTGCCAAGTATCGACGACGTGACAGTGGAATATCTTTTAAAGTTAACTCTGTGTCATTGGACAATCGTTTTGTCGTGCCGTACAATCGCTATTTATTATTGCGATTTGATGCACATATAAATGTTGAGTTCTGCAATAAATCCAGGTATCTTTTTCATACCACATATAATATTTATGCTCGACACTACTTTTTTATTCCCTTCCATGGAAAGTGCCAAATTTGGTAGCTTTTGGTGTGTTTTTTTTATTGGTTTAAACGTATCAGTTTGGTTGTTGCATTACTACTCATTAGTTTTGTTGTGTCCAATTTTTGTTTGACATGGTAGGGCAATCAAATATTTGTTCAAGTATATCAACAAACCACAAGATCGAGCAAAAGCTTCATTAGTTGACAATGAAACTAATACTGGAATTGAATCTGGTGCATCAAGTTCAAATCCCACACCACGGGTTGATGAGATAAAAGCATATCTTGATTGTCGGTATATCACATCTGGTGAAGCATGCTGGAGGTTGTTCAAGTTTGATGTCTACTCACAGTACCCATCAGTGTTGCGCATGTCTTATCATCTTCCTGGGCAGAATGTAGTTGTCTCAAGGCAGCATTCAAATCCTCAAGGTGTGCTCCAGTCTAAGCGTGCTCAAACCTCTATGCTGTTGGAATGGATGAAAATGAATAAGTTATTTCCAGAAGCAAGGAAATATACATTTGTAGAATTTCCGCAACATTATGTTTGGGATAAAACAAAGCAGGCGTGGCACAAGAGGAAATCCATGTTCATTATTGGGCGGTTGTATTATTGTCATCCTTCGCCTACAAATGATAGGTTCTATCTGCGTATGCTTCTACATATTGTTCGTGGTGCTCAAAGTTTTGAGGACATCAGGACAGTGAATGGAGTTTTGCATAAATCTTTTAAGGAAGCATGTTATGCGCATGGTCTATTGGCAGAAGATAATGAATGGAATGACTGTTTGGCCGAAGCGGCTCTTTGGGCATCCGGTAAAAAGCTTAGAACTTTATTTGTTACTATCATCAGCCTCTGTCAAGTTTCAGACATTGGGAAACTATGGGAGCGGAATTGGGCACTGTTATCTGATGATATTTTGTATGCCCGTCGGAAGGAACTAAATATGCCTACTTTAGAAATGTCTGATCTCCAGTTACAGGAATGTTGTTTGCTGGAGATAGATAAATTGCTTGCAAGAAATTGCAAAACTCTATCTGATTTTCCTGGATTACCAGTTATCGATACTGGTAACATGTCATCTTCATCTAATCGATTGATCACTGCAGAACTTAATTACAATGTTGCAAGTCTTCGTGAGCAATTTGAAGGTATGATTTCCAAGCTCAATTCCCAACAAAAAAAAGCTTTTGATGAAATTACTGAATCGGTGTATGCAGATAAGGGAAATGCATTCTTTATTGATGGATGTGGTGGGACAGGAAAGACCTTCTTATGGAAAGTCATTTGCTTGAAATTGCGATCGGAAAATAAGATTGTTCTATGTGTAGCTTCTTCTGGGATTGCGGCCCTTTTAATGGATGGGGGTCGAACAGCTCATTCTCGATTTCACATTCCAGTAGACCTTGATGGTAGATCGACATGTCATATTGACCAGGGTAGTGAATTAGCAGAGCTCATTCAGCGTGCTTCATTGATTATTTGGGATGAAGTTGTTATGTCACACAAGCATGCAGTGGAAGCTGTAGATAAATCATTGCGGGATATTTTGCGGTTTCGGTATGAAAACAGTCAGGGTAAGCCGTTTGGAGGTCTTACAGTTGTTTTTGGAGGAGATTTCCGGCAAACTTTGCCTATAGTATTGAAAGCTTCACGAGGTGATATTGTGAACTCATCTATAAAGAGGTCCTACCTTTGGCCCCATTTGAGGGTAATTAAGTTAGTTGAAAATATGCGGCTAGCACGATCTAATTGCTCTCCGGAGGAAACTGTTGAGATAACTACTTTCCAGAACTGGCTCTTGCAAGTAGGAGACGGAGTAGATTCAGATGTGTTTGGTGAGTCTTTGATTCGCATACCTCAGGAATTAGTAATTCCTCGACAGAGTGATCCTGTCATTGATATTGTCGCCTCTATATACAGTGATATTAGTAGTCATGCAGGAGATCATAATTATTTAGTCAATCGAGCTATCTTGGCTCCACACCATGATATGGTTTCTGCAGTGAATGAGTATATTCTAAGTCAATTCCCAAGAGATGCAGTGGTATATTACAGCGCAGATTCTATTGAGATGGACCCTGGGAAGGAGGGAGTTGTGGATGCTGATTATTCAACCGAGTTTTTGAACAACCTCAGGATTGGAAACTTTCCAGACCATCAGTTGGAACTAAAAGTTGGGTGTCCAGTCATTCTATTACGGAATATGGATCAAACTGTTGGCCTTTGTAATGGTACTAGAATGGTTGTGAAGACTTTGGGTAAATGGTTCATTGAGGTGGAGATTTTGACAGGTACCAATATCGGTGATCGCGTCTTCCTTCCCAGATTGACATTATCAACCCATTACAAGAGTCTTAATTTCACCCTCATTAGAAGGCAATACCCTGTGGCTCTTTGTTTTGCCATGACTATTAACAAAAGTCAGGGTCAAACACTAGCCAATGTTGGTTTATGTCTTCAAAGACAAGTTTTTAGTCATTGTCAGCTATATGTTGCATTGTCAAGAGTTACTACAAGGCAAGGATTGAAGATTTTGAGTGGCAATGAGAATGGAGAGGAATGCACTTCAATGGTGAACATAGTATTCCCAGAAATATTTGATTGATTTATATGAACTTCAATTCAGGTTTAACTTATGATTACAGTTTATATTTTTTATGGACAACTGTTAGGCGTCATGTTTGGCTATTTATTTTTGTTAAGGCAATTTCCCTAGCAATGGACTATATGTTTTAATTCAAAGATAATTTTTGTATAGTTGTTCCAATTATGAATGTTGAACTCTTTCCCCGAATAGATTATTACTTGGCTGCTCCATCTATCTCCTGTGGTTTTTACCAATGTGATGCTTATTATTATGTTCCAAATATTACAGCCCACTTATTAAATTTCATATATTCGTCTAAACATTTTAACTGAACAATTTGAAACTTAAATTGACCAAAAAATGAATTCGTTTTCATTTGATTTCATGTTCCAACGTTTGTCAAATGCGCCGCTTATGTTTAGTTTACCCGCCCAACGGGCCGGGCCCTGCGCTAGTCCACTAAAATGTCAACTAATCCAATCCAATTGATCCAAATTCAATCGGATTGATGGATTCATGGATGGATCTATTGATCCAAATGACAAATTATAATTTAGTACCTATACTTTTTATATTTTATATTTTGATACCTAACTATTTTATTATGACATTTTAGTACCTGAACTTTTTGAACTTTACATTTTGGTCCAAGACTTGGATGTCATTTGGATTCGTGGATCAATCCACCAATCCATCAATCTGTTTGATCCAATCCACCAATCCATGGATCCAATCCATTTGTCACCTCAAGTATTTTGTAATGGTTGTTTGTCTAGTTTGTATATGATTCATTGATTTGTGTATTTTGTAATTATTGATTTGCAATACAAGTCTACCTATTTGTATTGTAAGTAGTAGTATTTGTATAGTTAGTATGATTTGTATTGTTTGTCCATTTCTTATTTATCGATTTCTTTATAATGTTTATAAGCTTTGTCGATTTCTTTATAATGTTTATAAGCTTTGTCATTTTTATCTATTAGGTTTATATAACTGAAAAACAACATGGTTATTGTTCATACCTAATCCAAAAGCTAAGGAGGTCTAAATCCAAAAGTCCTTTAATATACTTTTAAGAGATACAACAACTCCCTCCCTTTTATGCAAACCTAAAACACATTAAAAACATGACTATTACCTAGAATCATTGTGGATTTCATTTACACATCTCACTTGCAATGTAACTAATACCTCATTTTACCACAAAAATATAGTTGGTTGAATCAAGCATGAACCTAGAAATTAACAAACTATGACAAAAAAAAAAAACTAGAAAGAAATCGGTTGAACTGGATCTCCCATGGATTCTCTCGAAATCAAGTACCGAAAGTTGAAGTTATGAGGAACCCAGCAGATCGGCTTGTTATGCATTCTCCGTCGAATGCTGTTCATTACGGATGCAGGTAGAAGATGGTCCAGCTCCGTCTCGGTTAGAGCAGCTGGACAAAGCCGAGACTCCTTGGCAAAGCAATCCACAAGCTTAGGAAGCATCACTTTGTTCCTTTGCTTGTGTAGAGTTAATGATGTCTGGATGTAGTCTTGCTTTGCAGCTTCGAGATCCTCAAAAACTGTTTCCGGGCCATAAACTCGAAGCTAAAATATGCAAGCGGATGGCTTAGTGAAAGAAGATGGAACAGTAAATGAGGCAAATGTATTTGTAGTATACATACCGGAGGGTCAGAATGATTGCCTGTACAAAGTGCAAAATAGAGACAAGGTTCAGGGGTTGTGATGGAGTATGGTCTCTTGGCATCTCCATTCTTCAGTTTCCTCGTCGGATAAAGGAGCACTCTAAGCCACTGCGAAAGGAATATGGTCTTTTGCGCGTTCAGTTTAATGAAGATCTCGAGTTCAAGTCATTGAAGTTCTAGTATTGGAAGGATAACTATACTTTAAGACGAAGAGTTACAGATCCAACATGTAGTCATCATGTCCCGTTCATTTCACTTTCTATCTACAATCCTTGATCAGTATGTTTCTATCGTAATCGTTCTACCTTTGTTGTATTACAGAGAATCACTTGGTTCAAATTTGAGTTAATCAAGATCATAAAGTACCTAAAACTCTTCTAACGCTGTTACCTGTGCAGGACGAGGTAAGTTGCATCTGAGGATCGAGGTCTGGATCATATCTACGCTAACAGTGCGACCACCCACATTATACGCAGCCTAGCAATAAGACAATAGACAGAGAAGAATATATCAATGTCATCTGAAGTTGTAACAGTCAATTAATGAAGGGGGGCTGAACCTGAAGAAGAGGGAACCCACCCATCTACCCACCCACCTTGAGCACTAGAGATGTTCTTCTAATGTGGTTCCTTGGAATGCCATACTCCAAATATGACTGCGACAGACACAAACCAAACTCAGCAAAATATATGAGAGATTGGGATGAGAAGTTCATTTTGATTAATACTCTTTAAATTCGAAAACAACTCCAATAAATACATTACATGCATCACTAGCGAATTGTGGACATTGATCCAAAATGCCAGCTTTTCACCATGCTTCATCTCTGCAGGTTCTACTCTTTCCAGCTTTGATACAAGTGACCTGCAAAATTCAACCCACATCTCCCCTTTTTTGTTCAAGTGATCCAGAACAGCATTCATATATAGCTTATCTGGAATGCAACTCTAACTAACTAAAACTAGCAGGAAAAGTGACTAAGAAATTCAAGGAAAAAGACCTATAGTGCTGGATCTTATGCTGCACATGTTGTATCTTGTGGACATCTATACTCATCCATCCAACTTCTCTTAACTGATATGAACATGATGAGCCTTCAGCTCCAAGCCTTGAGCTTGGTTGTGCAAGTTCACAGTATATGCTGGAGATGCACTTCACCATCTCCTCGGACACCCAATTTGGACTGATCTCCATACCATCACCACCACCACCGCCGCCGCCGTTCAAACTTGCATCCTGAACTCTCTTAACAAATGACAACAAATCAAGCCCAGATCCATATACTAAAGTACCCTGAGAAAAAGCTAGGAAAGGAATAGTAAGCCGATACCTCAAACAAGGACAAGGGAAGGGAGTGATGGGAATCAAGGGCTCTAGAAATAGCAGCACCAGTATTGAAACGATGAGATAGCGATGAGTAACATCTTCTGATGCTGCTGCTGCTACTTGAAAACTGCAACAAATTCCCAGCTTGGGGTAATTCCTTTGTTCCTGCCTCCGCATTGTTTCTGGTTTGGCTAACTTGTTTTGTTTTCAAAGATTCAGGGGACTCTGCCTCGCTGGAACAACAACACCTTTGTTTATATAGAGACACAAGATATCTCTCCAAGTACACAACTTCAAGCTCCAGTGCTGATATTTCCTTAATCAGTTCCTTGGCAGGCTGCCATCAAAGAAGCAGTTTTATCAATACACAAACAAACATATGCAAAAATTGTATAATGTGGAATACTTTTTCCTCATTAGTTATACCGAAGGGATAAACACATCATCATGAGACACATGATGATGACGATGATGATAATGACTGGGAAGAGTCTTCCAGTAACCCACTGCAGCCTTCTCAAGTGCATTTCGTACCAAAAACTGGTCCTCCAATTGTTTCTGCAGCTCCAAAATCTGGGAAATTCAATGTCTAATTAGTTCACAGTTGGCAGAATTATATGTAACAAGGAAACTGCTATTATAGTACAATAATACAACAATGAGTAAAAGGGGTCTCTTTCGGAATTTCGTGAGCTCACCTCTTGCTTTAAGCTACTCTTCCGAGTTTCTTTCATTGGATTGGATAGCTTCCAGTCGTCAAGCAGCTGCAGCTGTTCCATTTTCCTTCGATCACCAGAAAATACCAATCCAAAGCTCAGGACAGTGTAGTTCTTTTTTACGAATAATGATCGAAACGAAGGACTTTATGAAGGTTCAAGCACCAAAAATGAGGTAGTAGGAAACAGAGGAAAAGGGCAGGGAATTATGGAATCTAAACTGATACAATATTTCTTATACCTGAAACTATGACTTACAGGCTATGAATATTATATAGAACAATCAAAGTTAATTCTTCCCCACATGAAAAAAAGTAACTTTCTTTCACTGGCTAATTCACTTTCCATTCCATGGAACAAAAGGAGGTTGGCTTTTCTTCAATGCATGACACCTCACTCACAGGTTTGTGGGAAAGCAAAGTTCACTGACTGGGTATTATCAAGTGGTTCAATCAAAAAGATTATCGGGTAAGTCTTTCCTTTTACCTGACACCAAATTGTGTTTCAGAAGAGAATCTAAAGAATATGATATGTTGGCAAAAAAAATTGGTTAGTTGCTCTTGGGGGGATAAGTAATACCAGTGTAGGGCAGTCAGTGCTTATTGGAAAGCAGGGGCCTCTGGCGATGACTCATTTTCTTGACTATTCCCATGTGTGTAGAAAGCAAGTCCACCTTTGAAGCTTTTTCCGCAAATGGTTTGGCCTTTTTGGCTTCTGCATGAAAAGAAGTAAATCTGCCCATGAGACTGTGGGAGGCTTAAAAAAGACAGGTAGAGAACAGCCTTTTAATTTCAATAGGAGAATTGCAAAAAGGAAAAGAAATGAGACAAGAAGCAGGGAGGTAATCAGAAATCAGAATCATCTCTTGGATTATGTATGAACATCTACTTTATTAGCTGCAGAAAAAAGTGAGATTTTGTTTAAGATTTAAAATACAGTTTGAACTCCCTTTTGCTTCAATTTTGAATGACACTAAGGTTTGAGATCAGTAACATCATAACTACATCAGGCTCGCATGCAGCAAAAGTAAAAAATTATGACCATCATTTGGACTGTAATTTGTTCAACTGGCTACTACATTATGCTATAATTACTCTGGTTCTTAAATGGCCAATCATGATACTTCATTCCTGATATTGGGAATGAAACTGTATTCATGAATTCATGTGTAAAGGAATTAAATTCGTATCATTGGACATGAACATAAGTTGTTCACAATTGCAAGCACTCAGATGTTGCATGTGCAAAGTTGGGTTGCTCAGTCAAATGTCATGCTCATGCATGCAAAAAAGAAACCTTCACTATCATTTCACTGTTCAGTAATTTAAATGAGTGCCCCTCCAAAACCATGCAAAAAAACAAAGGGAAGGCAGCCACTAGCATATGAGTATATGTTAAAGTAATGCTAGCCAGCCAACTACAACATTCTCCATCAAATCACAACACAAAGAGTGAGAAGATCAAAAGGAGGCAGAGCACCCATGTCTCACCAAAAGCCGAAAAAACATTCTCTCAAAAGGGCTGAAAGTTTTAGGACAAGAAAATGGTGCATGGGAGGCCCAGAGGTGGGCAGAAAAAAAGCCATAATCATCGAAGGAACTTTTCCTCCATCCATGCGCTAACTAACCAGCCATCAACAAATTGTAAGTTGACAGAAGACTCAAACAGTCAATGGAAAAGGACCCCTATTTCAAGGTTGGTCAAAAGCTTCAAAATTGCCCCTTTCTAGTGGGTATAATAAACGTCATGTTGAGCTCATCAGCAACGGAGCTTCAATGGTGGCATGAAAATTGGAAATAAACCACAAAACAAAAGCAGCCCATATGTATAGAATGCTCCCCACTAACCTTAACCAGTAAAATCTCCATAAAGAAGCTCGTAGAATACCTTCTCCCATACCCTTTGATAAAGCAATTGCACGTTGCAGGAGGGGGGGCACACCTCCCTCGTTGATTATCATTTCGCCGAGCAGCTTCTCTGCGCCCACGAGTCTCCCCGACGAGCACAGACACATCACTGCTGGAGTACATACAGGTTGCGAGGATTGGGGAAATGCCCTTCTCTTCCGTCGAGTTTAGGTCGGCCACAGTCAATTAAGGTTTATGATCCCCTGCTGTATAATGCCAGTGGATAAACTGGTCGCATCTGGCGTCGACCCCTCGGTGACGCATTCTGTCGAACACCTGATCGGCGAAAGCTAGTGCATTTCCAATGATGTTTGCGATTGCGAACCGTCTAAACCCATTTGCATGGCCGGCGGAAAAAAAAAAACTGGTGACATCTGTATTTTAAACGATGACGGGCTTACTTGGTTGAAGGTCCAGACACCAGGCCCAATAAAATGAAAAGGCCCATAAACAAAATGAGATTTGAAGCCATGTCGTAGCTTTTAGCTTGCTCGGGACAGTGACGAGGAAGAAAACAAGACGATGACCTTTCACACAAGCTCCACGACTAGGACGGAGATTGCATCCGATGAAGAGGAAGTAGTTCATGCTTTCAAGTTTCAACAAATGGTTTAAAGTAGATAACTATATAATTATACTGTAGCCATTTTCAAATAACAAACAATAAATTGTGTTGTTAATTGTTATTCATACTCATTTACTTTCACGGTACATACATTATGAGTACTATTATAAAGAATATGAGGCATGATAACACTCTAGTAAGACGCCTTTATCATGAAAATCTAAATTGGTTAAGTTGATTACGAGTTAGTTGCAAAAGTCTTCACTCAATTGGTTGGCCGAATCGATGGTGGCCCTAATATATGAACTATGAAGCATCGGTTTTCACGTGTCCAACCAATTGTTTGTTTAAGTGCTTAATCAAGTGCACAACTTTTTTTAGGTTGATTACACAAAGGAAATTTTATATTTAGATTTGTTAGACGCTAATGACATGATCAGTTCTATTTGATTTCTAGTAGAACCATATTTATTTTTGCACTAACTAACATAGTGGCCATTTTATCACCTATTTCTTTTTTTATCCCTCCCAAGTCCCAACTCAAGACAATAATATGCCACATCACTCAACTCAATAAATACAAATGCCACATTAACACTTTGACAAGCTAATTGAAAATGAACCAACTTATGAATCAAAACTACATTACCCAATCTAAATTACCCGTTATGGACTTCTTATATGCTTGAGTGACACAATTACTATTTTGTTAGCTACTAGCGTACACATAGATACCTATAGAAATTAGGAAAATAATTTGAAAAATGACCATATAATCAACTTTGGCCCCGTTAAAGGGTTAATACCTTATTTTGGCCCGAACTATGACCATATAATCAACTTTGGCCCGTGGTTTCAGAAATTAACATCCTGGCCTCAACTATGCAGCATATAGACTCAATTGGCCCGACACATAGTTTGACCGTCAATTTGGATGGTCAACTCCGTTGACCGTTAGTCAACACGCCATGTCATTGCCTAGCCAGCCTAAAAATCATTAAAAAAATGCAAATTTCAAATTATTTTTCTAATTTATTATTAAATTAACCAAAAATAAATTATAAAAAACATAAAATAAATTTGATTTTTTATTTTTTGGATAATTTGAAAAATGATAAATTTTATAAATTAACCAAAAATTATCAAATCATTCTATATTTTTAAAACTTCCCACCAAAATATAATTTATATCATAAATTTTAAATTTATAAAATTTAATTTGATAATTTTTGGTTAATTTATAAAATTTATCATTTTCAAATATCACAAAAAAATTATTTTATATTTTAGAATTTTATTTTTTGGTTAATTGTAAAATGATAAATAATAGAAATTAGGAAAATAATTTGAATTTAAATTTTTTAATAATTTTTAGGCTGACTAGGCAATGACATGGTATGTTGACTCGTTGACCGTCCAAATTGACGATCAAACTATGTGTCGGGCCAATTGAGTCTATATGCTGCATAGTTAAGGCCAGGATGTTAATTTCTGAAACCACGGGCCAAAGTTGATTATATGATCATAGTTCGGGCCAAAATAAGGTATTAACCCTTTGTTAAAAATCAAAAGTAGATAGACTGTCTTGTTAGTGATCCAAAATATGTCATCATTTATGTAATTAACCCAACATTTACAGGGATCACTGTAGGGCTGGGAAACGGTGCGGTCTGGTCCAGACCATACCATATATACGGTTTACGGTCCAGACCGAGAGGCTAAAGTATAGACCACAGACCAGACCACAGACTATACGGTCTGGTCCAGACCATGCCTGTGCGGTCTGGTTCGGTCTGGTCTGGTCCAGATAGACCACACTCAACGAAAAATGAATAATTTGTTTATTCAACCACACAAAAAATTGAACCAATAACCAAGAAAAATAATTGTTATTTGCCTTAAAACATTAATCCTAACATGCATGAATAATTTTGATACTCTAAATCTTAGTACATAACAAAGATACAAAGTAAAAGCATCCCAGCTTGCACCATAATGTCATAAACATTAACATAATGTCATATGGAGACACGATTATCTCTACTCTGTGGTTAAATGTGGTTGTGAATGAAGGAGGGAAGAGATTCACAAAATTAAGGTTGAGACTTGGGTGTCGTTGTGGGAGTTTGGAGAGTGGTCGAATGGGCTGTTAACACGTATTGACAAGTCAGTTGGGTCTACGGTCTGGTCTGGTAAACCGCGGCCTAGACCAGACCAGACCAAGAGATCAAATCATAAAATAATACAGACCATGGACCAGACCAGACCATACTTCACGGTCTACAGTCCGGACCAAACTGTGCGGTACGGTTTGGACCACGGTTTTTCTAACGCTCTGGTCTATTTTCCCAGCCCTAGATCGCTGACTTAGCTAAAATTAATTTCCCCGCCTTCTGGAGTTGAGAAACCCTATTCGCCACTTTGTCACTCTTTGCTAGTTTGCTTCACTCTTCCAAGTCCGTCGCCCAGCTAGCCTAAACCTTTCTCGCCGTCCCGTCTCCGGCTCGCCGCCCTCTCATCCTAATTTCCCGTCGCCTGGCTCGCCGCGCCTTTTCCCATCACCCCCGTCGCACTAATCGCCGCCGCTGTGTCCGAGTCGCAGCGTCAAAGCAACTGCAACAGCTCGCCTTCCCCGTACCTCAACATCCACCTCTCGACAACAACAGGTAATGTTTCAGTTCTCTTCATTTTAGGTTACGTTGGATAATTGGAGCCTTGGTTAAGGTAATTTACCGGTGCCCTGCATAGTTGAGCTGAAAACCCCATGGCCATGGCTGATTGTGTAAAGCTATGTGGCAGATCTGAAACATGGATGATAATCTATATGACGAGTTCGGGAACTACATTGGCCCAGAAATCGAGTCTGATCACGATAGCGACGAGGAAGAACAAGACGATGACCTTTCAGACAATCCTCGCGAGGACGAGGCTGCATCTGATGACGAGGAGGGAGCTCATGCTTCCAATGGATGGCTTACAGCATCTGGTGATGTTGATATGGAGAACCAGATTGTTCTTGCTGAGGACAAGAAGTATTACCCTACAGCGGAAGAGGTTTACGGTGAAGATGTGGAAACTCTGGTGATGGATGAGGATGAGCTCTCGCTCGAGCAGCCAATCATTAAACCAGTTAGGAACATCAAGTTTGAGGTTGGGGTTAAGGACTCGTCGACTTATGTGTCTAGCCAGTTTCTAGTTGGTCTGATGTCGAATCCAGCCCTAGTTCGCAACGTGGCTCTTGTGGGCCATGTGCTTCATGGGAAGACACTTTTCATGGATATGCTGGTTGAGCAAACTCATCATATATCGACATTTGATACAAAGAGTGAGAAGCATATGAGGTACACTGATACAAGAGTTGATGAGCAAGAAAGGAGAATATCCATCAAGGCAGTGCCAATGTCCTTGGTGCTCGAGGATAGCAATTCGAAATCTTACCTTTGCAATGTGATGGACACTCCTGGTCATGTCAACTTCTCTGATGAGATGACTGCTGCACTCAGGCTTGCTGATGGTGCAGTGTTGGTTGTGGATGCTGCTGAGGGAGTAATGGTGAGTAGTCTTTAGTTGAACTCTTTCTAGCTCAGCAGTAATCTTACCCTCTTGTTACTGCATATGCAATAGTGTATGGCCTTTGTGATTTCCAATTGGCAGTGTTGATGAAGATGAAGAGTTATTGTACTGTGTAGGTAAATACAGAGAGAGCGATACGTCATGCGATCCAGGACCGCCTACCTATTGTAGTCGTCATCAATAAGGTAAATTTTCAAACTGCATTGGTCTTCCAGGCTTTTTCAAAGTGACCTCTCCCACGCATTCTGAAGTGTTACTAATTTGACTTCTGTTTGAAAGGTGGACAGGCTGATAACAGAACTGAAGTTGCCTCCTAAGGATGCTTACCACAAGTTGAGGCATACTATAGAGGTCATAAACAACCATATCTCCGCTGTCTCTTCAACTGCAGGGATTCGCACCGTTATTGATCCTACTGCTGGGAATGTTTGCTTTGCTAGTGCTACTGCTGGATGGTCGTTTACTTTGCAGTCATTTGCTAGACTGTATCTCAAACTCCATGGTATTCCATTCGACACCAATAAGTTTGCAGCTCGCCTATGGGGGGATAAGTACTATCACCCACAGTCAAGGACTTTCCAGAAGGTACCCCCGGAGGGTGGAGGAGACAGATCCTTCGTTCAGTTTATACTGGAACCTCTTTACAAACTATATAGCCAAGTGATTGGAGAACACAAGAAGAGCGTGGAAACTACTCTGGCAGAGCTTGGTGTGACTCTCCCCAATGCTGCCTATAGATTGAATGTTAGGCCCTTGCTGAGGTTGGCTTGTAGCAGGGTTTTTGGTTCAGCTTCAGGTTTCACTGATATGTTGGTTCATCACATTCCTTCTGCTAAGGATGCAGCTGCCAGGAAGGTTGATCACATATACACAGGGCCTAAAGACTCTATACTTTACAAGGCAATGAAAGAATGCGATTCCTCGGGCCCCTTGATGATCAATGTCACGAAATTGTATCCCAAGCCTGATTGCAGTGCCTTTGATGCGTTTGGTAGAGTCTATAGCGGTAAAATTATGACAGGGCAGTCTGTGAAAGTATTGGGGGAAGGTTATTCACCAGAGGATGAGGAAGACATGACAGTCAAAGAAGTTACAAAACTATGTGTGTATCAGGCACGGTATAGATTGCCTATTAGCATGGCTCCACCTGGTTCTTGGGTTCTTATTGAAGGCGTAGATGCATCCATCATGAAAACCGCTACACTGTGCAACGTTAATTATGATGATGAAGATGTGTACATTTTCCGGCCGCTACAGTTCAATACTCTTCCTGTAGTTAAGACAGCTACTGAGCCATTGAATCCAAGTGAGTTGCCAAAAATGGTGGAAGGTCTTAGGAAGATCAGCAAAAGCTATCCTCTTGCCATAACTAAAGTTGAGGAGTCTGGAGAGCACACTATACTCGGCACAGGAGAGTTATATCTGGATTCAATTATGAAAGATCTTCGGGAGCTCTATTCTGAAGTAGAAGTCAAGGTATCTATTAGGACTGTCGTTTTTACTGTGCTTTCCACTTTTCCTTGTACAATCATTTTCTGACTACGCTGCTGCACTGAAAAATCATGCGTAGGTAGCAGATCCAGTGGTGTCTTTCTGCGAAACTGTTGTGGAATCTTCGTCAATGAAGTGTTTTGCCGAAACACCTAACAAGAAAAACAAAATTACAATGGTAAAATTTCTGACCCCGTTCTTTTTGGCAATATTTAACCTCATATGTTGAATCCTATTTGTTCTTTTTGTTGCCCAGATTGCTGAGCCCTTGGAGAAAGGTCTTGCAGAAAACATTGAGAATGGTGTTGTGAGCCTTGACTGGAACAGGAAAGCTATTGGTGAATTTTTTAAGGGATATGATTGGGATGTGCTTGCTGCTCGATCTATCTGGGCCTTTGGTCCTGATAAGCAGGTAAATGAAAGGCCTGATGCTCTTCCACGCTTTCATCTCTTTTCCTCCAGATTATATTCTGGAATGTCACGTTGTTTAATCTTATTCGTAAAATTCCTTATTAGAACCCTTGTCCATGGTTAGCTCAAATGCCTCTATTTTCTGCAGGGACCTAACATTTTATTAGACGATACGCTTCCTACTGAAGTTGATAAGGGATTGCTTACTGCTGTTAAGGATTCTATTGTTCAAGGGTAAACCAAAATGGGTTCGCTTTCTCATTTATTTACTTTGAAACTGTTTGAGCTTCACAGCTGTAAAGAGTAAAGGATTTCAATGCTTTTTACAGGTTTCAGTGGGGTGCACGAGAAGGACCACTTTGTGATGAGCCAATCAGGAATGTAAAATTCAAAATAGTTGATGCTAGAATCGCACCTGAACCGTTGCATCGTGGCTCGGGTCAGATTATCCCCACAGCTAGGCGTGTTGCATATTCATCATTTCTTATGGCAACTCCTAGGCTGATGGAACCTGTGTATTATGTTGAGGTACTTGATAACTATTCGCTGCCACAGTGAACCTGTTACTAACTGGGCAATGTTGTAGGAGCATTTTGTATGTTACCACGGATAAAATAATTGTTGCAAAACAGTCTAGCTACCATTTTTCTTTCTGGTAGAAGTCTAGCAACCACATTGATTTGACTGCCTAAAACACGTTTCTGGAACTGAACTTTGGTTTTGTTCTTTTTTCCGCAGATCCAAACACCAGTTGACTGCCTATCAGCAATTTATACTGTGTTGTCACGTAGACGTGGACATGTAACAGCAGATGTTCCTCAGCCTGGAACTCCAGCGTATATTGTTAAGGTTTGTCTCCTTGAATCTTAAAGGAAGTTTATGTGAACTTTAAATTGCATGTTGAACAGCCACTGGGGATGCAAAAACCCAATTCTTGGTCCCTTTTTCCTTGAAGCTAGACACTAGACAGCTTCTCTAAGTTACATCTTGGTAATCTGTCTTTGCCTTGTATGCCCAAGTGGAGAATCATTTACATTCCCAGGATCAATTTATTGCCTACTGAACAATAGGTTTTGATTTTGCCTCGCATGGACTCGCATCAATGAGAGAGTAACAGCTTGTAAACTGATTTGGTGATATTGCTTGGCTCTTACTTGGTTTGAATCCATGATCTAGATTTACGTTGCTTGGAGTCAATCTTGGCTCATAAACATAATTTGATCCTAGACTCCCAATATGTTTTGTTTACCTTTTGTTGATCTCCTTTTCCTGTGTGGAAATTGCTGCTTTTCCAGGCATTTTTACCGGTGATAGAGTCATTCGGGTTCGAGACGGACTTGAGGTACCATACACAGGGACAAGCATTCTGCCTCAGTGTGTTTGATCACTGGGCCATAGTACCTGGGGACCCGCTGGACAAGAGCATAGTTTTAAGGCCACTCGAGCCTGCCCCAATCCAACATCTTGCTCGTGAATTCATGGTCAAGACCAGGCGCCGAAAGGTATTTATCTACCTCCCATCTTGCTCCGATAATCCGATTTAGTTCATAGATAGAAAGGAACATAATCATTTTCTTCTGAATTGAATATTGAAAACAACCGTACAGGGAATGAGCGAAGATGTGAGCATCAACAAGTTCTTCGACGAGGCCATGATGGTTGAGCTGGCTCAGCAAGCTGCTGACATTCACCAGATGATGTGATCGATGACTGCCCTGGAACCGAGAAACGAAGATTCAAATCCCCAGCCCCCGGTTGTTGCTGCCTTTTGGTGCAGCTTAGCTGGAAATGGCATCATGTTGTAGCTATCTATCCACCTTTGGTTCCTCTTTTGTTGTAGTTAGCTAGTTGCTTCGAACAGGAAGAGCTAAAGTGAGAGTGTTCGTCTTCGGCCACAGGAGTCTCACCAACATGAGATCAGAGTCTGTACAAATCTGCCTAACTGTATTACTTCTACTCCTTTAGGTTTGAAAAAGGGGTTGTTGATTTTGATTGATGATTAACAAGATGCATACATGAATTCTCCATGCTTTAACTCGTTGAGCGGCCCGAGTAGCTTACGGTAAATATCTGGTTCAATCTGGCTGAGTGTTTCTGGTCCAACCTCCTGGTTTTATCCGGTTTAAAACTACTCGCATTGATACCATGAGCTATGCAAGTGATGTCTTGTTGTTGCTCTTCGATTTAGACGGTCTCATAATCAACTGTACTGAGATGCAGATACTTGATTGTACTTGATAAACAAAATGTATAACATGAAAATCTCCAAACATTAACCTGTTGTTGAGCGGACCGAGTGAACAATGGTTTTCATGGTCAGGTCGGAAGTGTTTGGTAATTAACCGGTTCGTCTGGTCGAGTGATCAGGCTGCAATTTTGCGGTCCAACCGTCAAAATCGATCCGGTTTAAGAACATTGAGTATTAGCACCCACGAGCGACGCACGTGATCTCAGAACAGAAAGAAGGCCAAGGTACAAATTACTCTTCGATTTCATCGTCCTCTTTTTCTCCAACGCCTCTTTCCCGCCGTCTCTCTCTCGCTATCCGACGAAGAGTCTCCGAACAGTCGACGACCGCAGTCCTCTCAAGACCATTCCGCCGTAAGCTCGTTTCTCGTTCCTTTTTCTTATTCTTTTGCGAAATCCATAGATTCTAGAACCAGTCTTTTTGTCTGGGAGACTATCTGTGTTCAGCTAAGTCAGAAGATGAGTTTGATGCTCATGTGTCTCTCTGAACCTTCGGAATTATGCATTTGTAGTTTCAGAGTTTGATTGTTTGCTTGAGAAATTACAAGGGTTTCATTTAAATAGTTGAAATTTTCATGGCTCTGTGAGCATCCACATTTAAAAGTTTTGTAATGTTATGACAACAGCTGAATTATGATCTCCTCTGCTCAATTTAGTAGACCCAAGGAAGAGCTGGGGAAATGCTATTATCAACATCCCTGCGTTTACTCTATCCTGCTATCTCATTTAGTTCACTACTTAAGCTCAAGTCTTCAACTCCAAGGTGTTTTCGTCTTCAAGAACCAATGGTCGGTTCAGGTTTGTGTGCACATGTGTTTTCTTTTGGTTGGGAAGAAATCTGGGAAAAGTCCGTACCTTTGAAGTTACGCCTATGTCGATCTCCAGAGGTTTAAAGAAAGTTGAATTTCAATCTCATCAATGCCGCAGTACTCTGAGTTTGATAATTTGGAAAATTCTATTAGAGAAACTTGGTCCTGATCATGGATTTTTCGTTTCTCAAAACTAAAACTCATTATTTTTTCTCTCAGGTTCGGCTATGGATAGTTCAAGTTGCACGTTGGTGCTGTGTGGGAAGTCGTCGGCAGAGAATGAAATTGCTGAGTCTCTGAAGAAGAATGATACTATTAAGCTTTCTGAAAACAGTGACTTGTCTGTGTTCATGAAATCAGAAGTTGATAAATTGTATAAGCAGGAGGAGAAATCTTTCGATCTGGAACTTTACATGAATTGCCTTTCAACACAGCGATTCGGGAGACTTTTAATTTGGTCCCCCCTAATAACTTCCACTCATGATGTTGTTTCCAGGTAAGTTAACCTCCAAAACTTTTATCTTTATGTGCTTCTTGAGAGTGTCAAGAAGATCCTTGATTTTGTTTAGCTTTTGGCAGCAATTTTAGTGATCTTCCGATTGGCACAGTTTGTGTCGCTGACAGACAATATAAAGGACGGGGTAGGGGTTCATTTTTTGCAATTATAGTTCCATCACTCTATTGAAATGATTTGATGCGCCCCATCATTAAGCCAACAAAATTTTGTAGGTCGATCAAAGAATGTTTGGGAATCTCCTGTTGGTTGCTTACTGTTTTCATTCACGGTTCAGATGGAGGATGGGCGAGCAGTTCCTTTGCTGCAGTATGTCGTTTCACTTGCTGTTACAGAGGCAATAAAGGAAGTTTGTGAGAAGAATGTAATTTATCTTTCTTAAAGATGAAATTGTCTGTTCGAGTTTTTGTCAAACTTTTAAGTGATTCTCCTATGAGTTCGATTCTGGAGATAAAAACAATTATGGAAATGTAGTTTTTCATCCCCCTATTTGAGATTTAATGTTGACATCACTTATTTGAGAACTGATTTTTTCAGGGATTACCTTATATTGACGCTCGAATAAAATGGCCAAATGATATTTACTTGAATGGCCTCAAGGTTGGAGGTATTTTATGCACTTCGACCTACAGATCGAAGAAGTTCAATATTAGTGCTGGTAAGGGCTTGCAATTTGTTCATATTGAAGTTATTTTCTTGTAGGATCTGGATGGTAATTATCTCTTTTGTCAATGTTGCAGGCATTGGTTTGAATGTTGATAATGACAAACCGACTACATGCTTGAATGCCTTCCTAAGAGATATGTCCCCTGCAGCTTGCTGCTTAACCAGAGAGGAAATTGTGGCTTCATTTTTCAACAAATTCGAAAAGCTTTATGACTTATTTATAAACCAAGGTGAATATCCTTTCAAATAGAAGAAAAAATAACGGCGAAGAAGTTGCATGTTGAATTTATCTTTCTGTTTTTTTTTTTATCTCAAAATTAAGAAGGTTGGAAGTAAGCAGAAGTGATCTCTTGTGTCTACTTTTTCCATTAAATTTTAGAATCAGAAGACTTTCGTCCAGAGCTTATGTTGTGTCTTTTCTTTTGAACTCCTGCGGTTTCCTAGAATATAGTTCTTACAGACTTGGTAAATATAAGCAGTTGCATTCTAGGGCTACATGAGTCCTCGATTTTTTTTTTTTTACCTCGGTGTGCAATTGCATTTCTAGATTTGTCGACTTTTATGTACTTATTCATTACATTGATCCACAGGATTTGGACCTCTGGAGGAACTCTACTATGGAACTTGGCTGCACAGGTCAGTTAATCTCCTAAGCCCAAATTTTCTTTAGTACATCAATGTTGTATTCATATAACAGGGAAAGAAAGAACCTCTAAAGCCCACAGATAAAAAAGGTTTATTTAGGCTGATGGTGGTTGAATTGAGGCTACTACTTCTGCATATTGCATCGTTGTAAGCTTCAACGTCGATTTCAAACAGTTTTATGTATATGATAATTAAACGTTGATATCATATTTTTATTATTATTGTTTTTAGTGGGCAAAGAGTAATCATTCAAGAAAACAATAAGGATCAAGTTATGGAGAGTGTGGTAACTGTTCAGGTACGATTAACTGAAACGGATCTTTCGATAGGTTGCAGTTTTTTTCAAGAATGTAGAACATGCATGATGAAACCTGATGTTCTGAAAAGATTCATTTCTTCTGTCTACAGGGTTTGACGTCTTCGGGGTATTTGTTGGCTATGGGTGACGACAATCACATGTATGAGCTTCATCCTGATGGAAATAGGTAAACTGTGGGGCAGTTGCTCCCGTTGCTTGCTCTATATAAACTATATGAAAATGAATAACCGTCTGACCTTTTTGCTACTGTGGGTGGCAGTTTTGACTTCTTCAAAGGATTAATCAGACGGAAACTTCAATGAAAGATGCATGCAGCCAAGGAAAGTTGGAGTTTTTTCTATGCCAACAGACAAACAGTTTCATGATGGTATATTGTTGTATCCTTTGAACAGCTTTTCTGGCATGATCTGTACCTTTAAAGCTAGAGGCAATCCTAAAGTCCAAAGGTTTCCGAGTCGAGACAAGTTTTGGCCAATAGTTCTGTTTGATTTTGTGGTTATGCAGCTGCGTACGTGAAATGGTACAGCTTTTGAGGATGCATGTTAAGTCAGGATCTCTGTGTTGCATCTTTTGTCAAATATATAGGACACCTTATACACTGTTAGCTCCAAATCCTGCAACGAACCTGATCATGCCCCATTACGCCAAGTTTCTGTGATTGACCGGAATCAAAGACGGCAAAACTGATGTGCTGTATATAGAATTATAGATACACTTATGTTATTCCTCTTGTAGTGTTGAATGCTGCTATATCTCCCCTAATCTTCAATTCCGGAAGGCTTCTCTGAATTCTCCTTATCACCAACACGAAAGTAGAACGATTTGAGCTTCGGAGCAAAAACTTCCACTAGTTCAATTTATGGCGGCGGCATTAGGATTTTGGGGTACATCTTAAATCCAGATACTTTTAGTAAATATCTTGATGTTCCGCAACTGATTAGCTTGTGGTGGTACTTAGAGAAAGGATCAATCAACTTCCCTGACACAGAAGAGTAGAGCAAACACTGGCTCAGTTCCAATGTCGTCAGCAATTTGAATCCTGAAGCATAACCGAGCCAACTGTTTAACAGATTGGATTTGTGCAACTGGAGAGTCTCTAGAGATCCATGGACATTATGCGCTGCCATTGCTCCTGCCATATTGTGGATGCCAGTTGCGGTACACATTGCTAATACGACCCTGGCAGCAGCCATGTATTGCATTACGCCGTCAAATAGTTCTGTACCAGCTGAATGTCCACAAAGTGCCTCTCCCCGAAGGTCGAAGCTAATGGCACGGACCACGGTCGACTCAAATCGAAGAGATATGAACTTGTCCACGTGTTTCTGGAAATCGGACTTATTACTGAAGCTGGAGTTCCTGCTGAAGTTGACAGGGACGGGGATATCTTTCCATAAGCATCTCCACCTTCTCGACAGAATGCTGGTTTGGACGACAGATCCAGTGTCGAGGAAGGATAGAATGTGATGCAGAATGTTGTTTGAAAGATGGCTCACTCTGTCTATCACTCTAATGCTGATGTTATTAACACTGATTGTTTCGGATTTTGGCGAGTACTTTGATGAAGCCATAGCAGCTCTTCAAACGAATATTGCTCGTTTTGATGCACACAGAAAGCTATATGTATATGCATGTTCTGAACCACTAGTTTGGCTTAGGTGGCCTTGTTATCTCCTGATCATTTGAGGTGCTTGCCAGTTGCCACCAGCAAATAGCTGATCGAATTCATTCGCCGCTATGGTGCATCACTGCACTGCATCTTGCTGCTCCTTCAGTAGAAGACTGGGAAAATGCGAACTCAAATCTCAACAGAGCAGATACAACATACATACCAGTTTCGTTATCGCAACTCCCACTGTCATTAATGGGAACAAACTGAAATTCACTTCTTCGTATAAATATAGATTACTGCCACACTTAACCAACAAATGAAGTTATCTTATGCTTGATTGAAACAAACCCTCGAGGAAACAGCCTCTCAAGTTGAGAATTTACACATTTACTACAACTACCAAACAGGGCCCGATTCAAACGGCTATATACAAATATTTTTTCACCGTCATAAATAAATAAAATAAGAACACCAGCATCCAAGATGTTTCTGACAGGCCAGCATACCCAGACTAACAGCAAAACGCCAGCCCCCTCCCCCAAAATGACGAGAAAAAAGATTGTAACTGAGTAGTCTAACACAGGCACCTTCAATGCCTGCTTTTTTCACTTATATCCCCATTAACATATGACTACTAGATCCATTCATGGTCAAAAAAATATGGGCGTTTCAGTTAATACTGTACAACCTGCATTTTCTATAAGAGACATCTTTCTTTCAAGAAAAAGCTAGCTGAATCTCAGTTCCTGTCTATCACCTCTGCTGGCATATTTAGATCAAAGAACCCACTGACCTCCTTCCTCGTCCGCTTGCTCAAAGAGCACTCGTTGATGTTGTCATTCGACGAACTCCCAGACCCTGATGGTCGGTCCCGTTTTAAAATTGTCGTCCCACCTGCAGTACCCACCCACTCACCCACATCAGTTCCTGTCTATCACCTCTGCTGGCATATTTAGATCAAAGAACCCACTGACCTCCTTCCTCGTCCGCTTGCTCAAAGAGCACTCGTTGATGTTGTCATTCGACGAACTCCCAGACCCTGATGGTCGGTCCCGTTTTAAAATTGTCGTCCCACCTGCAGTACCCACCCACTCACCCACATCAGCTCTCTTAACTGTATCCACACATTTGTCCCTGAGTATAATGCTAAGCTTCTTTTTTACCATCATGCTACAACATGCAACTGCCCAACATTAAATTTTCTACAGGCAGCCTTCGCTCACAGGAGCAACACATGCAGTTAGATAGCAACGATTAAGCAAGTTTACAACAAGTAAAAGGACAATACATACATAAATACCGTACAAAAGGTACGACAGTGCATTTAGTCATGAATGAGAACCCAGGAAGCAACAGTATCAGGGAGGGGCAGCATCACAAGGAAAGTAGGAAAACTCTCTAAGAAAGTGTTGGAACAATCGTGGAGAAAATGGGGTTAAAAATAATATTAGATACCAAACTTGTTCCCCTCGACAACGAACAGGCACCTAATAGTCCGCTTTTGACTAATTATTACCATGATCCAGCTAAAATGCAGTACTCAACAGCCCTTAAAAACAACTTGTAGCTAGTTTATCCCTTTAAACTGATTACTTACACTACAACTTAACAATTGGCCATTTGACTCTTCAGATTTGATAAAAACTTCACGTTGGATACTATCCATGTACAATATTGATGCATATTGAACCGGATAAAAAGAAAGGTGAAAAAAATGTAAAAATTGCTACCTGACATTGATGCATATTGAAGTGCATATAATGTTTGCATCAGAAGGGTGTAAGTAACAAGTAGAACAAAACTGGACAGGGACTACTTTGTTAGGGGGGAAATTACATTAGGGTAACCAGCTAGATGAGAAGGATGGATTGGTTACTATTTCAAGTTTAGCTATAATTAAAAAGTACTCATGAGCTAGACATAAAATGGTAACATACTAATTTGAAGGTAAGAGGACAAGTTTGGAACCAATACTTTTTTACTCCCAGGATGTTCGGAATTCATATCTGTTCAAAATTTTGAATCAAAATTACCACTTGATATGTCATCGGATGGTAAGTAATTGCTAGCATCACTGGCTTTATTGCTCCAACACGTGGAAAGTTCTGACGCTTTCTCAATGCCCTTTGACTTGTATGGGGCTATGTTATGAGTACCCCGCTGAAGAGAACCCAACAAATCATTCTCAATGCACTCATACCTGCAGAAAAAGAAGAAGAAAAATCTTTAAGGACTTGCAATGCCTACAGAGTTCTCACAACGTCGATATTTTACTTACTCAATTAAGCTACAGTTCACAAACTCACATTTTGTTGCAGAGGTTATCTGTTACAACAGATAGATTGATGACCTGCATCCTCATCTCCATTATTTTATCATCACTGTACTGGTCAAAGGGCTCCTCAAGGACCTTAGAGAGTTTCTCAACATTTGCTTCAAGCTGTTGCTGCTGATCTTCAAATAGATTCTGTTTTATCTCCCTTTCCTCCTTTGTCATCTCTTCATCAAACAATTCATCCCCAAACATATAAAACGCAAAAGGGTATGAGTAAGAAAGGACCCGCCTTGATCTGAAAAGTCTGTTTAGACCGTTTATAACCCAGCTGAAGTCTCGTAATGCTGATTCTCTCTGCTCGGATATCGTCACCCTCCCTTTGATGGTCTCCTCAAGATTATTTTCAAGTTTAAATGAGTCAGTATGAGCTTTGTATCGATTGTGATAGTGCATATAGCGATAGAGATCCCGTTTAGCACGTTCAGTCTTTTTCTCCGCATCCTCTTTATAACGACCACAACTGTGACCAGCTATACTAGACCATGTATGGTCTCTCCCAGTAGCTCCACCACAGAGCCAGCTGTACCAAAAAAGAAAGCAACAGAACTAAGTCAGTCAACTTTATTCAACATGGATATGGAAGATAAAGTAAAGAAATCTTCTGGCAGCATTCAGTCACATCAATAAAGACACCCCAGTTACTACAGAACTGAAAAAGCTCGTCCTCGATAGAGGTACAGTAGTAGCCCTTAACAGTTTCCATAGTCATGCATTCTTTGGAGAAAAAAAATTAAAAAACATAAAACAAAAAAGGCAAGCTGAGGAAACAGAATTCTCACCAAAACGCTTGGCCACAGACACAGGCTACAAGATTGCAACCACCATTTTTCTCAACTGGTTTGTGACACTTTGGACAAGGCTTGGTATGAACTGTGATCCAATTAACCGTTTCAGATTCATCCCGGCACTTCTTAATCCAAAGCTCCCACATCAGACACGAACAAGGCGAGTGTGTTGATGACAAGCAGCTGAAACAAAACTGTAACCCGCAGGAGCATTGTACCTCACAAACCTCATCTTCCTCGACTCTAATAGCATTCCCGCAATGGGGAGCACTAGGGCACCATTTCACCATTTTATTATCCTCGATATATGACTCTAAAAGAAAACGCTCAAATTTCTCTGCCAAGTCAGGATGCCTTTTGCTGACCAGATTTCTAACAACAGCTTCATCACATATAGCGTGGCATTTGTGTGCCATGCACCGGATACGCCTGCTCTGACCTTCGTTTATTTTTACAATAAAATGTCCGGTCCAACCTTCAGGAAAAAAGGAAAAACAGTAAGAAGAAGAAATAATGCCTTGCATTATATTGAAGGAAGGCATCATTCCTGAGAGATCAAGAGTAACGATCTCTAACAAAACCTTTCAAAGCTTTATAAACTGGATATTGTAATGCAAGTATCAATTTTAAAATATACTACAAAAAGTTTGCAGTTTGCATTTATGATTTGAAAGTAAGAAATGAATAGCAAGTCCCCTTTATCAGACTAGCAACTTAACCCGACCCTCATGATATGTTAAGGAGATGTAAAGCAAAGAGACATGAGAATGAATCAGTACTCACAATCGTTACAAAAGCAATGACCGCAGTCCATTCTTGTGGCGTTATCAGCAGGCACATCCTCCATACATATTTCACAACTCACTGAAGAAGATGAACACCGACGGATGTTGCTACTTAAATTGTCATCCACCATAACACCTGCATTCGAGTACAAGTACGCTTTCCCCTTTTCCACCAGCACAGAAAGCAACTTTTCCACATCCCAACGGTAGTAGATCAATAGAGTCCGGGCATGGTGTTCTCTAAGTGATAGCAACTCCATTACTCTCCGCAGATCCTCCCTCTGAAATTCATGACAAAAGAAGAAGAAGAAAAAACCAAACTTGAAATGCAGGATGAGCGAAACAAAAAGGATGGAACATTCCAAACAGTTTCACTTGAGAAGTGAGTCAAGAGTTCCATACCTGAGCATCGAAAAGTGACTCTTTTGTAATCACCTGCATAAACCCAGAACAGAGTCATACTCATATAGCAGTTCTATTCAACAGTAGCAATCAAACATAGAGCTGACTGGAAAAGTACAGTTACAGACCAGAATTGCGAAACCCAGGAAAAAGAACAAAGCTTTCAACTAAACCCAACCCGCGGAATTTCGTCACAATCGAAGTAACCCCCAATTGGAAATAAAACAAACCCTAACGACACAAAACCAAAAAACTCAAAAAGAAGCTACCTTCGTCGTGGAATCCTTGCGCGCTGACCCTAGGACATCGGAATCCTCATTCTCGATGCCATCCATTGGCTCCTCCTGATCGTCATCATAGTAGCAGTACTCATCGTCGCTCCCGCCGTAATCCTCCATCGTGGAAACAGTGATTGATTAAAAAGCTATAACGCAACAAAATAGATATCCCCTGGCGATTCCTGTTTCCGGACCCAAATAGGATTGCGGAAACAAATTGGCTGTTTCCGATGAATCAATCTCAATTCAACGACGATCGGAGGCGGATCCCCGGTCGGATCGAGGTGGCCGGCGCCGGGAGAGAAAGGGGCTTATCGAGGGGAGCTCCTCGTCAATAATTTCGTATCTGGTCGTTTTATTTGTTAATTCATTTTGGAAAGGGAAGAGGGAGAGAGAGTCCTTGTAGTAGTGGGAGAACGCCGTCTAGTTTTAAACTCCCCACGTCCCCAACACAAACAACAAACAGGCAAGACAAGACGCAAGTGAAGGGAAAAGCTCAATTTAATCCTCATACTCTTTACATTCTCCTCCATTTGGACCCTCAATTTCCAAACTCTATTAAGTCAGTCCTTTATTAGTGTGCAAGACATGGTCATTTCAGTTCAATTATTCTTAAATTTGTCAGAGATAACTCGATTCCATAGGCCAAACAGTGACAGCCATGAGCGAAACGATTAGAGGAACGATGCCATCAAAGACTCTAAACAACATGTACAAGAAATAGAGAAGGTTGAATGAGCATAACAAATTCTTGAACCTAGCGAACAGACTGGAAAGAGAAGAAGCATCGTCGACTGAGGTTGAATGTGATCATGGATGATTGCATTGACGAATTTCCAGGCTATCGACATTATGCAAGTACACTGCAGTATCTAGTAGGGGACGAACGTGTACATTTTAATTAAAATTTTCATGAGAGAATTCAATGGTATAAATATGAAAGAATTCACTAGTACAAGAAATGGACAGTCAAACTCAAAACAGTACACAGAATCAGTCCGATGGATCGTCGCCAATACTGGTGCGAAAAATATAGTCTTCTCCCTCCAGTTCTTCTTGAAGTAGACAAATGGAGGGCACCTCCATCTTCTTGCCAGATTCTTCATCCTCCAACGATCTTTTACCCTGTAGAATAAGCCGTCATTTTAGAACGTATCAGGATTCATCATCAAATGATCATAGACTGAGGAACCAAATCTCACTGGGGTCTTTATCAGATGACAGAATGAGACACAAAAGACAGAAACATTATTGTGGCCACTCAGGAGCTTTACCTTCCTCATGACGTAGAAGAAATAATGGAACCCATCCCCGAAAGTGCTATACTCAAAAGACCATGTCAATCCTGGAGAAAGAAACAAAGGCCGCCTGAAATGTGGCTGCAAAAGACGTAATCTGTCAAGTTAGTCAACCAGCACCTTTTGATAGCCATAGCTAGTGTTTCTGAGTAAGCAATTCTTAAAATCTCACCTGCCCGAAAGCTATTGATATGAAGATCCCATCTGGTTTGAGAACCCTGTGCACGCCTTCAAGCATTGTCCTGACCTTGTTTACAGACTCAGGCTTCGGATTCCACGGATCACCACTGTTGACGAACAACACATCCTTCAAAAATGAACCATTGACAAAAGGCAGCAGGGAAACAATGAAGCTTCAATCATGTAAAAACACTATCACAATGAAATTCCATTCTCGCGCATAAGAGGAAGATGGTCTAGATAGATGGCAAGCATATATACCATGGTCCCTTTCTCGATAACCACATCAAACGACTCATCCCGAAATGGAAGATCTAGCATGTCAGCTTGCATCACTTTAATTTCTGATGATAAAAGAGGAGGAAAAGAAAAACTAAGAGATCCATGAGAATCTTGAAAATGCACATCCCAACTGGCAAAATCGATTAAGCAGGGACACCGAGACACCCTACACCGCATTGTAGCAGGATTAATGCATCCTGTAATTGCACTCCATACTTACTACGAATCGATCTGAAAAATGCATTGATTGCAAAATCATGACCTTTGTCAACATGACGAGCTCTCAACCAGGTATATTATTGATTGCAAAATCATGACCTTCTGTTCTTTCTCGTTTTATGATCAATATTATTGATCATCGAATGAAATAGAATTGAATCTGTCCCATTCGCTTCCCTAATAGCTATCGATGGAGGTGGGTGGAGGAAGGAAAGATGATGAAAGGGTACCTTTATATCCCTTGGAAAGTAACCGCCTTTGCATTCTGTCAACAGCCACAGGGGACAAATCAGTGCAGGTTAGGTCCTTAATCCCATCCCTGTACATTTCATCAGACAGCTGCGAGTTCCCGCAACCAAGCTCGAGAACCTTTTGCAAATAACACAAAAGCAATCCATAAACAACAAAGAAATACACCTCCAAAATTCATGAATGAACATCTAAGCAAACAAAACCCTAGTGAGAGCGGGAGGAAGGATTTGTACAGAGGAGTTGGGAGGGATGTGGGCAAGAACGAGATGGCGGAAATGAGAATAATCTTTGAGCCACTCGTAGTGTTCTTCACTGGAGAATCTATCATCCCTACGAAACAAACAATGAGCAACAAGATGAATTTGAAGTTGCATTGTAGGGCGGGGAGATAGATATGGAGGGAAGAAAGAAAGAAGGGTTTGCAAGTTGGTAACCAACCAGTAGTGAGGTTCCAGGTAACCAAGCGCGGTAGAAGGAGCAACTTCCCGCTGCTTATCGCTGCCATTCTCCTTCTTGGTTTCATCCATGGTTTCCCTCTTCTCGTTGATTATTGTGTTTCTTCTTACTCTTTGTGGCTTCAACCCTAAACCAGTAAACCCAGTGTGCTCCCGAGTTGAGGGGAAAAGGAAAGAAAACAAACGGAGAAAACGAACGACGGCGTGGTTTGGATTCGGAAGGAGAGAACTGCAGCTGGGCCTCTCTGTTCCTTGGGCCCTTATGACTTCAAAAGTTTTGGGCTATCATTCTAACCACGGCCCAAAACGTTGTTCTTACTTCTACCATCCACAATGTGCGTGGTTTTTTTTTTTTTTTTTTTTTTTTTGACAAAAGATAATCCATTAGATCAAACAAAGATAGTTACACCCTGAAAGACAGCCAGGCCTGAAAATCAAAGAAACGGCATGTAGCCGGGTACAATGACAGGGCTTTCCTAGCCACCAAATGGGCTACCCTATTGTTCCTCCGACCTACAAACCGTACACAAAAACCAGAATGGACAGCTAAAAGATTTATAACTTCTTGAAGAATCACTCCCATCTGGCTATCACGTGCATCCGCCCGATTAATTTTATCAATGATGACTTTGGCGTCGCCTTCAAAATGCACCTCTTCAAATCCCAGGTTCAGGCACCACCTAATGGCCTCACGCAGAACCAACAGCTCAACAACTGGAGGATTAGTAATATGAGGAATTTGAAATCCTGCCGCCAAGAACGGATCTCCATTAGCATCGACCAACACCATCCCCCCCGCCGAGTGAGAACCGGACCTGGTCGCCCCATCCCATCTACACGTTGCTTGCCCAGTCGAATCCAACGACTGAGGACCTTGCAGTGGAGCACGACGCGCTTGCGGACACTCGACCGGTAGGCTAACCCATTCCTCAAACTGTTGATTAAACTGTCGCATCAAGGCCGGGATCCCAAACTGCTTGCCCTCAAAGACCACCCAGTTTCTGGATCGCCAAATCCTCCAAAGAACAGCCACAACTTTCATAAACAGAGGGGCCTGGTGAACTAAATTCATCAACCTCTTGAGGAAAAAAGGAAAAGTGTGTCGCGGCAACCCTTGGCCAAGATATTCCAACCCCGATAAGTCCCAAAGCGCACGCGCCACTGGACACTCCAGGAACAAATGCTCCATGGTCTCAGACTCCGCCCAACAGACCGGACAACGAGGGAGAACCTCCACCCCTCTCTCCTGAAGAGCTTACGTGGTTGGGAGGATTCTATTAAAGATTTGCCAACAGAAGACCTTGAGCTTAGGCGGGATATTAGCCTCCCACAAGCGAATCCAGCTCTGTTTATCCATCCAACTTACCACCTGGCGCCATCGACCGGTACTTCTCGCAATGGAGACTGCTAAATGATAGGCAGATTTCACCGAGAACAAACCATCCGGTGAGGCATGCCAAATCAGCCTATCCTCTAAGTTCTGCCGTGGCAGGGGAATGGCTCTGATCGCACTACAAGTATCCGGATCAAACCACTGAGCAAGTTTCTCCTCCGCCCAGCATCCGCCCTCCTGGCTGATTACTTCAGACACCGGAGGATCCCCCCCAATAGGCAGCACCCGGGGGTTAAACCGCACCGGCCAGGGATGAACCTGCGGAACCCAATTAGAGTACAGGAGAGAAGCGGTTTGCCCATTTCCAATCTGCCAACGTAACCCCTTTTCCAGCAGCTGACGACCATAAAGGACACCTTGCCAGCCCCACGACGGCCGGGATCGAGTCGTAGCCGACAGGAAAGAGGAGTTTGGAAAATATTTCCCTTTGTAAACCTGGGCTAGCAATGAATCCGGCTCATTAAGGATACGCCACCCAATTTTTGCCAATAAGGCCTGATTAAACTGTTCAAAACGGCGAAAGCCCATTCCCCCCTCATGTTTACTTCTGCACATATTACGCCAAGAGACCCACCGAATTCTGGAATGCCCATCCTCAACCCCCCACCAGAAGCGCGCCAAATGCCTGTCAAGAAGACGACAAAGGGAAAGCGGGAGCCTGAAACAGGACATAACATGCAGTGGCAACGCCAACGCTATCGACTTAATCAAAGTCTCCTTAGCAGCCCAAGAAAGCGTACGCTGCTTCCACCCCTGCAGCCGTGCCAGCAATTTCTCCTCCAAATAACGAAAGGTAGCCATCTTGGATCGAGCTATTAGGGTGGGCAACCCTAGATACCTATCATGCACTCCGACCGCCCCAACCCCCAGAATCTGGGCTAGGAACTCTTGGTCCGGCAATAAGACGTTCTTACTAAAGCAAACCGCTGACTTCCCCAAGTTCACCCTCTGGCCACTGAGTTCCTCATATTCATTCAAGACTGTTATCAGGTTCTCACATTCCTGAAAATTGCCACGAAGGAATAAATAGGAGTCATCGGCAAAGAACAGGTGAGAGATCCTGGGAGCCCAAGGCGCTACTTTAACCCCCTCCAGACGTTTCTCAGCAACCGCCTGCCGAATCAGAGCCGCAAAACCCTCAGTGCATATAACGAATAACAAAGGGGACAGGGGATCGCCTTGGCGGAGCCCTCTACTCGGAGAGAAATAACCAGAGGGGTTCCCATTCATTAGAATAGAAAATGACGACGATCTGAGACATTCATGGATCCAATCTCTCCAGACCGAGCTGAAACCCATTTTATCCAAAACTGCAAGAAGAAAGGCCCACTCAACTCTATCATAGGCCTTTTCCATGTCAACCTTCAGAGCCATGTAGCCTTTCTTACCTCGCGTTTTGATTTTTAAATAGTGCATCAACTCATGTCCGAGGAGTACATTATCAATGATCTGTCGTTCCCGAATGAAAGCATTTTGGCCCTCTGAGATGACCTGAGGAAGCATCGTAGCGAGCCTCCCTGCCATGATCTTGGTTATGATCTTGTAGACAAACTGGCATAAGCTAATAGGGCGGAGCTGGCGCATAGTCTCCACATTCTCCACCTTAGGAATCAAGGTGAGCCAAGTATGATTAAAGCTGCGGAGCATGCGACCAGTCGCAAAGAACGAGCATACCGCCTCAGTGACAGACGTGCCCACAATATCCCAAAAAGCTTTAAAGAATTTTCCAGTAAATCCGTCAGATCCTGGAGCCTGCTTCGATCCCATCGAAAAGACTGTGTGACGCACCTCAGCAGGGAGGACTTCAGCAGTCAACAGATCATTCATTTCAGGGGTAACACTACGATTAATAGGTAAAGCAGCCACCCTATCAGACATATTCAGGACCTGGTTTTCTGAGGTAAACAATGTCTGATAGAACGTATCTGCCAGAGCCGCCTTCTCGCGTTCATCCGTGACCCAATCCCCTTCCTCATTTCGTAGCCCAGCCACAAAGTTCTTCTTCCGCCGAACCCGAGTGACCGTGTGGAAATACGAAGTATTCTTATCTCCTCTCTTCAGCCACCTCACTCGGGATTTCTGTTGCCAATAAATCTCCTCCGCATCCCATTGTCTACTCAATTCGACCTCCAAACGCTGGACCTCTTCCCAATCAATTGGGAGAATTGATTTAATTCTATCAATCTCGGTTTGAAGAGTTTTGATATTACGCAACGAGTTCGTCGTGCCAGCGCGACTCCAGTCATAGAGAAGGTGGCGAAGCTTCTTAAGGCGCTCCCAGAGGCAAAACATAGGAGTACCCTGCACCTCCTCTTGCCAAACATAATTGACCATCGCCCTGACCTCAGGATTATCCGCCCAGCAGGCGTCAAAGCGGAACAGGGGGCGACTGGCTCTGGCATAGATCTTGTCCGACAGAATCAAAGCTCGATGATCTGATCCTTGATCCGTAAAATGTTTGAGAATAGTATCCGGGAAGAGGTCAATCCAAGACTGAGAGCACAAGGCCCTGTCTAATCTCGCACGAATGCACGCAGGGCCCATCCGCTTATTCGTCCAGGTAAAAAGGTCACCCTGGTAGCCAGGGTCATGCAGCCCTAAATCCTGGATAAAGTAACGAAGACTAATAGCTTGGGCGGCATTCCAAGGAAGACCACCATCCTTCTCACTCTCATGAAGAGTCGTGTTAAAATCCCCGATTACAACGAAAGGGAGCTGGATATTCGCGCACATATCACGGAGCTGTATTAGCTGGGAGGCTCGAATTGCAAGATTGCAACTAATGTAGACAAACACCACCGCATAAGAAACATTTATTTCATTAACTTGAACACAAATACAGAAATTGGAATGAAATAACACCGAGGTGTCAACCCCAGGGGACCAAGCCGCTACTAACCCACCAGATGCATCAATCGCATCAACAAAAAAACAACGAGAATAAGTAAAACCTAAACCCCGCATACGACGGGAAACTACTCTCCGGCTCGATCGTGTCTCCGAAAAGAACACAAGATCCGGTTTATTGGAATGCAGTAAACCAACAGCAGATTGGAATGTGAGGGATGGCCCAATTCCCCTCACATTCCAGGCGAGAAGCCTCATTTATCCGACTGGGGCCATTCACGGCTGGCTTCCTCCACCGATTCAGGTTCCATCACTTCCTCCACGAACTGCTTCTTGGGGGTAGGGATCTCCGCCATAGCCCCCTCCATCTCATCAATATGACATTTCTTGTTCCCCACTCCAGGGTCTGACAGGTTGGACCCATATTCATTGAAATCAAGGTTCTGCACACTAGTGACCTCGCCATGCCCTTCCTTAATTGCGCCGAGAGTACCCATTGGTTGAACCAATCCAGGGTCAATAATTGTATCTTCCATGGATATCCCGTTTTCAAACGCCTCTACCACTTGGCGCACTCGACTTGGTTGAAGCAGCCGCTTGAATTTCTTAGGCAACATTGGCTCACGTCGACGAATCTCGAAAGCCATCGCCTCGCCCTCTATTGACTCCACCTCCGAATCAGCCAGAGGAGGGGCGGCCACTTGGGCCTGCGGCCCATGGATTTCCTCCCCACACGGGTCCAAAACCCCTTCCACCCCGTCCTCCTTCGCTGCACCATTAGTCAGCACATCCTGGGCCAGGCCCAAAGGTTTCACTTTAGTCTTCCCCCCTCTATTTCTTTCCACCGGGCCTCCCTTTGCCACGCCTGCCTTCTTTCTTGGACCACTCTTCTTTTTAGGAGAGGGATCTCCTTTCACCAGGCCACTCCTCCTCTTAGAGGAAGCAACGGGCAGGGCAGCCACAACCACCGCTGGGCGAACAGAAGGGGACTCCGGGACAGCGTGCACCACAAAGTCATCCTCCGATTCAT